CGATTCCATGTGGATGCTGTTTGTGTGTGTGTGTGTGTGTGTGTATGTGTGTGTGTGTGTAAATAAGAGAGAGCATGGTGCTGTGTGTGTGTTTATACACAGTGCACAGATCTCTAATACGAACAAGACAATTTGCAAATTGTGCAACAAACAGGTGACGGTGAACCTAAGGTCGCATATACAGCGTTGTAAAATGTGCAGGTCTTTCAAGGGGCGGGGCTGCAGTATTGTGTGTGTGTGTGTGTGTGTGAAGTGGAGAGGGAGAGACAGAAAAGAGGAGTGGTTTTTCGCAATGGGACTGTTTTCAGTGATGTTCCCTCTTTGTTGACTGATTTTGTTGTACCACACGGAGAGTAATAAATGATTGGACCAAGTCTGAGCCTTACATCATAGTGTTTTTTATATTGCACAGTAATACTGTATACCGAGGTAAAATAGGGAGGAGGTTTGACTGTATCAAAATTTGAATTCTGCCCAAGCCTAGATTGTATACCTTACCATTTCGTTGGAGTGCAGTAAGTGCACATATTCTGTTTCTCAATGGCTGTTCTACTAACCTGCTCACCTAATGTTTATGTTCGTAATAGTTATATTATTTGCATCTTCAGCTCACTACATCAGAGGCATTTTGGGGGAAATGTTGTGGTTATGAGTGTCAGGTGCTTTTTAGGTTTGTTTTGCGAGATTTGGGGAATGGAATAAGAGGTTTGCACATGCACACATACTGACTGAATATGCACTCAAAATATTACGTTTGCTGCCTTTTTTTTAATTACTTGATTAAAATGTTGCTGAAACGACAACCTGACAGCTTAATTTGTTGATACTTAACAAGACAACTTAATTGATTTATGTCCAATTCACTTGAATTTGTAAAAACTAATCAGTTAACTTAATTTTCTTATGTTGTCCCAACACAAATTGATTGTGTTGAATTCAGCATTTGTACAGTGTGGAAAAAATGATGCCTGCAAACTTGTTGCAAAAACTTTATATGGGTTGAGTTTACACTAACAAATAAAATGTACTAATGTTCAACTAATTTGTTTGTTTAAATTCAGCCCAAACAAATTGTTTACAACCACTTAACTTAAAATTTGATTAGATCTAAGCAATCATTAAATTATTCATTTTCTTTTCGGCTTAGTCCCTTTATTAATCTGTGGTTGTCACAGCGGAATGAACCGCCAACTTATCCAGCAAATGTTTTACGCAGAGGATGCCCTTTCATCTGCAACCCATCACTGGGAAACATCCATACATTCACACTCATACACTACAGACAATTTAGCCTACCCAATTCACCTTCACCACATGTGTTTGGACTGTGGGGGAAACTGGAGCACCCGGAGGAAACCCACGTGAACACAGGGAGATCCAAGTAATCATCTTTGAATGATTTGTTTCAGTGTAGTTGACAAATAGATTTTAGTTTTTTTTGGTAAAACACCCTTTTTGTAGAAACAATAGATATATTTATGTAGTTTAAAGCTTGGCGTTTGAGAAAATATTAGGAGTCACTGACTTTATATTTTTTTCATTTTTTTTAGTGCTGGGCAAATAATATGTTTGTGTGCGTAATGTGTATATTTATTATGCATATATAAATACATAAAATACAAATGCATGCGTATATTTTGGGTAATGTTTATATTTAGATATAAAATGTAGATGTATATGATACAAATTTTATAAAAATTGAAATATCTACGTAACAACATTTTGTTTTATGTATGTGTATCATATGCATTCATATATATATATATATATATAGTTAAAGTCAGAATTATTAGCCCCCCTGTTTATTTTCTTCCCCCCAATTTTTTTTTTACAGTAAGATTTCTTCAACACATTTCTAAACATAATAGTTTTAATAACTCATCTCTAATAACTGATTTATTTTATCTTTGTCATGATGACAGTAAATAATATTTCACTCGATATTTTTCAAGACACTTCTATACAGCTTAAAGTGACATTTAAAGGTTTAACTCAGGGGTCGGGAACCTTTTTTTTTTTAGCAAAGAACCATTTCAGATTTCTTTGGCAAATGCATTTTTTTAAAGAGCCATTGGGATATAAGGACATTTATAGATGTTTCTTTTTGCTATAAACACTCATGAATGTTGTTTGAATTTATGTGCACAAGGTTACCATAGAAATGTAAGTTTCATGCCCTTTATTGGTGTCAGATTAATCCACAAGTTAATCCACAGCGCCGCACACGCACACTGGTTGAAACGTCCTTTTATCCTTATTCATTTTGCTGTAAATATATACAATAAAAAGGTCATTTGTAATTGTATTGACAATAGGAAATTTATTTTTAGTGACAGTTTTAATTTTTTATTGAAGGGAGACAGCTGGAGAGCCACATATTTTTGGTCAAAGAGCCACATGTGGCTCCCGAGCCATAGGTTCCCTACCCCTGGCTTAACTAATTAGGTTAACAGGTTAGGGTAATTAGGCAAGTTGTTATAAAATGATGGTTTGTTCTGTAGACTGTTCAGAAAAATATAGCTTAAAGGGGCTAATAATATTGATCTTAAAATTGTTTTTAAAAATTTAAAAACTGCTTTTATTCTAGCCGAAATAAAACAAATAAGACTTTCTCCAGTAGAAAAAAATATTATCAGACATACTGTGAAAATTTCCTTGCTCTGTTAAACATAATTTGGAAAATATAAAAAAAAAAAATCAAATAAAAAAAATCAAAGGGGGGCTAATAATTCTGACTTGCACTATATATATATATATATATATATATATATATATATATATATATATATATATATATATATATTCCCGGATAAAAGTTTGGTGTCAGTAGGATTTTTAAATGTTTTAAAATAAGCTCCTCCTGCTCACCAAGGCTGCATTTATTTAATTAAAAACACAGTAAAATTGTGAACTGATAACTGATCAAAAGTAGTTAATTATTTAATTTAATCATTTATTCCAGTGATTTTAAAGATTAATTTTTAGCTTCATTACTCCAGTATTTAGAGTCACACGGTCCTTCAGAAATCACTCTATTATTAATTATTGTTATTATTTATTTAAATAAATATTTAACAATCTATTTTTACATTTTAATAAATGCTGCCTTAGAATAACAGAATATAAATAAAAACTGACCCCAAACTTTTTACTGGTGTGTGTGTGTGTGTGTTGTATGTGTGTGTGTGTGTGTGTGTGTGTATATATATATATATATATATATATATATATATATATATATATATATATATATATATATATATATGTATGTTGCACATACACTGTCAAAAGAAAATTTTATTTTGGACGCGATTAATATTTGCCCATATACTACTTTTAAATTTTTTACTGAACTGTACTGTAAAAACGTCCTGTGGTGTGACAGCAAAAATGCAGAAAAACAACTTAATAATACGCAAATAATGTGACTTATCCTCATTGTTGGACACTTCTCTTCATATAGTGTTATTTATTTCATATAAATTTATGAATATTATTCTTGTTCTTCACGACTTGTCTGACTTTTATGGTTCCAAAAAACCTACAGTAAGTGCATGTCATGGGCTTCACAGAGGTTGTTTCTTCACATATTTTTTGCATAGCTATTATTGATTAAATTACCCATTGATTTGTATTTTATTAGCACCTACCCCAACCCTAAACCCACAGTAATGTAAAAACAAGTATTGTTGTATTAATATAAATGGTTATTGTTAACTTCCAGCCGCAGATGTATAGCTTCTGGACTTAAGTTGCGTGATATTGAATGGGGTCCTTCAATTAATTAAAGTTTTTAGTAAAATTGCCCGATTTAAAATGAACATACGCATATATATATATATATATATATATATATATATATATATATATATATATATATACTGTTATGAGTAAATGTATGAAGTTCATATGTTTTTAGGAACATATGGATGAGAAAAGTCACTTGTAAAATTAGGCCTGAGTTTTTTAATGACAGTCTTATGATGTTATGCATTTTTATATGGTACACTTACGAAATTCGGCTCAAAATGCAAAAAATACTGATGATAACACAGCACGTTTTAAAATGAAGAAGAAATGTTTAACCATTTACTGCTTTTTAAATGATGACTACTAATTATGTTCATTTTTGTTATTGCGTGACAGCAAAAATGCAACGTCATATCAACAATAACACGTAATACAGTCAACATATTGCTGTTAAATGCAGAGATGCAGGTTATTTCTCTTAGAGAAGCTGTCACAAAGACAAATGAGCTGACTTGGCTTTAGGCAGATATGTGCTGCAAATGAGAAGAACATGCCTTCTGGAAGAGATTTTCAAGACAAGTGCACTGCCAAGCATCAAAACATTACGCTTATCACTGCACTAATGTAGAAAAGCCACAGCCAAGTTAAACATCCAAAGCACTTAAACGGATGACATTTATAAACAGTGAGATTCAACTGTATTCATGTTTTTTATGCTCATTTGCTTCACCTGTACAATCTGTCACTGTCTGTGGCTTGGGTTACACTCGAAAGGACCGCAAGTAATGTAAAGTGCTAGACTTTGTAATATCATTGGTTATAAAACATTATATAAAGTTATTGTTGTTAAATCAAAGTACTTAAACTAACTGAACTTATGAAATAGTTTCACAGGAAATATAGTTTATGTCTGCCCACGCACACTTGCCCTTTATATTCACAAAACTGCCTGTTGGTGGGAAGAAAATGATATTGTAGCATAATAAAACGCAATAAAACTGATTTTATTATAGCAGGAATGAAACAAATAAGACTTTAAAATACATATTATTGGAAATACTGTGGAAAAATTCGCGCGTGTTGGATGCCAACGGCGGGAGAACTGCGTTCGGCTGCTTTAATCTTTCCATTTAAAATTTCAAATCTCAACGGACTATTCCTCTGGGGTAAAAAAAAAAACTTTTCGTCGCGTACTTGGGATGTTTACACACCAAAAAAACGGTGACTTTTATTCTCCAGGGGGCTCTTACCATCATTTTGTCCGTCTTGCGCTTCGGAAATATTGGGCATTAGAGGGGAACCTGGCACAGAATCGCTGTCGACGGAAAAATAGCCACTAGAGGACCTGGAGAAAGTCCGGTTCATCGGTGACCTCGACTGGTTATTCGACATGGATATCCCTCCCCTTAACGGGTCCCCTTCGCCCGGCTGAGGGAAATCAAAGTGCCCGGCGGGCAACACCACTCCGCCACCGGTGCTCTCTCCGCTTCCCTGCGAGGCCGGGCCATTGGCCAGCGTTTGCTCTCTGCAGAACAAACAAAACACTCATTACTGTCTTTTACAAGCGGTTCGAAGAGGAATTGTGTGGGTTGTTGTGAGGGGGGATTGATTTTCCCGTCTGTTTCGTGCGGAATAGCATGCGCTGGGAAACTCAGCTGGCAGCGAGCGCTGCGAGTAGTAACCCGGTGAAGTGCGTCACAAACGAGCTCCTCTTCAACTTCCTATTTCTTCCTTATAGCGAAACTGTCAACATTTTGGGATAAAACTACAACACGCGAATTATAATGCGGCGTGGACTTTGAGCTCGCGCTGTAGCGGAATGTCCACGCGTTCATCTTTGTTTGTTTCGTCGTGCTGGGCTAAAGAGGTTTATTCTGTCGGGCTCTTTAAAATGAAAACACATCCCTGAAGAGTTCTGCGTGGACCAGTAAACTCTGTCAACCAGTCAACTCTGTCAGCCGGCTTGTACAAACCGCGAAAACAAAAAGCAAATATAAGCTGAGAGAAAAGGTTAGAGCAAACTCGCAGTCAGTCTATTGTCGTGTCACTTACCGCAATAATTGTTGCGTTTGCGCTTGTCTGGCAGTGTTGTGGACGCGCGTGTTGACGCGCACGCGATTTGACGGCGATTTCTTTGTTAGTTTATTTTCAGCTTCGATGTCACTTGTCACCGAGTTGCAATGTCAGCACTTTACTGACTGAATAGCGCAGCTACTGTACGAACGGGGTTTTCACTCAACAATACCACAATGTGTTTATTTCTTTGCTTAATTTCACTTATCAGCGATCAGAAATGATCAGTGTTTATTTTCATATTTCAGTTTTATTCAACAGTTTATTTTCACCAAGAGCTCGGCGCTAAACAATATCGCGCGCACCAAAACAAAGTTTCCTATTAATAGGAGCGCATCGACGCCTCCAAGTGTTCAGGCAAACAGACAGCAGACAGTAGCGCAAAGTTATGCGAGCACATCTCTCTAACAGTCCGACTGCATGTGATGATCATGAAGAAAAGAAAAACACGCATCCCACGACACGTCCCAAAATGCCATTGTTTCCAACCGGGAACACTGTGAGCCTTATTTCAAGAGTAAAGCGCTAATGGATGGGTATTTTTCTCCCGTGGGTAGGGTATCGCCTGGCGTACATGTACAGAACTTCAACAACAACCGAGAGTTTATTCGCATTTGGCGTGTATTGTTAGTGGGTAGCGGCAAAGAAAACAAAGCAAACAGGTGCCTGACGCTTTCCATTGCAAAACACGGTTAAATAATTCACAGTGGTTGAATGTCAACACGTAAAGGCCATCGAGGGGAGTGGACTGCTCTACTACATCTCAACTTTTGTCTTTGTGACATTGTCTGGACGCTACTTAAAGCGACCAAACGCGCATCAGAAGTTTCACTTTTTTCCCGTCGCGCGCAACTTTGCGTTTTGCGCGTTTGCGCTCGATCGTCAACACGGAGAATAACGCAAGCGAAAATTAACTAACGAATTATTCAATAAATCTTTTTGGGGGGAATTTAAATCACGGCGATTACGTTTTAAAACGATAATATTGAAAAGCAGTATTGCTTTATATATGTAAAAAAAAAGAGAAAGAATACAACAAAAGTTGCCGGCATAATGTACTAAACTCCCGTTTGAACTCACCTGGACGTGTCAGACATCCTCCGATCGCGCTAGCGCATCATGTTTTGCGATAAAGACAACAACCAAAGGTGAAATATGCAGAGATTAAACAAAAAGTATGATAAAAGTAGAATCCCAGTGTCCAAAAAATGAACGCCTATAAATCTGGATGAATAGTCTTCCTCAGGATAGCTGTCATATAATAAGTTCCTGTTTGAAAAAGCCGTCCACGGGATTGTTTTGGATGATTTCTTTTGTCTCTTAAGTGCACTTCCTCGCCCAGAGTCAGTCCCGTGCGTCTGCTGCTCACAGAGAGCAAGTTTCTTCTAATCTCTGTTCACTGTAGCGAAGAGCTCTGCAGAAGTGCCCCGCCCATAAGGGGAGGGGCTTGCGATGGTCAACCCCCCACAGAACTTCTTCAAACCACACAACCGAGTCCCGAAATGTACACAAACATTTGAGATTAAACTAGAACAAAAGCACGACAGTTCTTCTTTCACACGGTGTATTTCATGTTCAGTCTGGCTGAATAATGTTTGATCACAAGTGTCACAAGTCATCACAAGAGAATCATGGTAGTTTTGAAACGATGTAAAGCTGCGTGCAATACAAGCTGAGTTTACCAAAGCCTCGGCGTGCGTTTTATTCTGTCATTCATTAGATTACCAAACTGTGACAAGATGACAACACGCACCATTTACAACACACAAACACTAAAGAGAATAACTCCACAGGCTACATCTGATTGAGATTTTTATGTCAGAGAAAACCTGGAAAATTGTGCATCCATTTATTAGCAGAACATTAGGAATCTCCAACATTGAGGTTATTTGACGCATTTTTAAAGGGATAGTTTAATAAGTTAACAAAGGGATAGTTGATTTATTTACTTTTTCTAGTCACAAACCTGTTTGAGTTTCTTTTGTTGTTGTTGTTAAACAGTAATAAGTTAATTAGAAAAAAATCTAAGCGGTAACCATTGACCTCCATAGTATTTGTTTTTCCACTATGGAAGTCAATCGATTTCTATCATTCTGCATGATACCTCATGTGGTGTTCGACAGAAAAAAGAAGCTCATTAACGTTTTGAAACACCTAAGAGTGAATAAATGTTCATTTTCAGCTGATTTATCCCTTTAAGATTAAAATTTTGTGCAAAATTAAATCAACATTTATAAAATGTTACCATTAAAAACTCCAACAAAATAATTAAAATTCCAAGGTAAGTGAGCAACATATAAGGAAATGCTTTAGACGACCCAAAAAATTTACACCCAAACTAGAAATTTCGATATAATTGTTTACATGCACAGGCAGAATTATTAGCCCCCCTTTTGATTTTTTTTTCCTTTTTTTAAATATTTCCCAAATGATGTTTAACAGAGCAAGGAAATTTTTTACAGTATGTCTGATAATATTTTTTTCTACTGGAAAAAGTCTTATTTGTTTTATTTCGGCTAGAATAAAAGCAGTTTTTAATTTTTAAAAGCCATTTTAAGGTCAATATTATTAGCCCCTTTAAGCATTTTTTACCTGATAATCGATGGAACAAACCATCGTCTTGAAGAATATCTAGTCAAATATTATTTACTGTCATCATGGCAAAGATAAAATAAATCAGTTATTATGAGTTATTAAAACTATTATGTTTAGAAATGTGATGAAAAAAATCTTCTCTCCATTTGGAGGAAAATGTAAACAGGAGGGCGAATAATTCAGGGTTGCTAATAATTCTGACTTCAACTCTATTTGGCTCAAATGGTAAATAAAGATAAAACGATGGCAAATGAAAGTGGCACTACATTACAATGTATATACTACAATGTAAGGTATATTTTATGAACACCTCCTCGTGTACAGTTGGAGTAGAGGCGAATGAGATGCAGAGAAGCTTAAACTTCACTGTTATCAGTTTTTCTGTAGAATTTTCAGCAACTTACTTGCAGCAGTTCAACAGTAACTTACTGTAAATCTTAGTGTAAATCACAAATACTGCAGCAAAACTACTGTATAGATTTACAGCACCATTTAACTTGCTGTATATGTATTTACAGTACTCTATATTTTTACTGTAAAAATACAGTAACATACTGCATGGCAGTCCTACAGTCCATATTACAGTTAAATACTGTGCGATTTACAAAAATCATTAACAGTGTTGGTCAGAGAAAAGCTGCTGCTATCAAACACCGTTTACTTCACTGAGTCAGTTTAAACATGAAGGGATAGATCCAATAGGCCTGTTCATGAAAGGTTTGTGAAGAAATTTAGGCCCCGTTTACACTAGTGCGTTTTAGTTTTAAAACGGTGTTTTAGAATGAAAACGATCCGCGTCCACACTCGCGTTTTACCCAGCGTTTCTGAACTGCTCTCCGTCCACACCAAAACGCTGAAAACGCACATCACGTGACCACACAGACACTCTTTGTCAAGCGCTGCAGCATTTCTACCCAGATGAGAGCTGTGCTAGTCGGACTTCTCATCAAGCATCTCCCGCTGGATCTAATCTCACTATATTTATTAAACGGGATATTTCATTCATCTTGTTGTCTTTATCTAACGACATATTCCCTGACTTTGGTCATTGTAATCTATTACTTGTTTTCAGGTAACGTGTTTTGGCTGAGCGCAAAGATAAGTTAATGATTAATGTAACCACGTAGCCTACATTCTGTATATTGACTGATCGCTTGCCTTTATTTCCTATAATGTATAAACTTATTTTATGTTATATTTTTATAATGGCCATTATCGATTATTAAAACTGATATTCAGCAAAAGAGAGGGTGTGTTTCGTATTTTCACTGAAATTGAAAGGAGGCAGTTGTTATCGGCTCCGTTTAGTTATAAATATCCACACAGTGAAGATGACGCTCATAAATGCAGCACGACGCCTCAACATTTCTGCTGTCTGTTTAGTTGTTAATATTAAAATTAAAATAGGCAGTTCCTTATATCATGTTTACATTTTATTGTTGAGAAAGTGAAACAACGTAGCCAGGGTGATGTGAATGGGTTTTCAAACTAAAACGCATTAGTGTAAACGGGGCCTTAAAGGGCCATGAAACCCCCTTGTTTCAGCAGGGTTTTTTCACACCTCTACTTTGGAAAAAGTCAGGAAAGTGGGCGTGTCCAGCTCTGTTTAGGGGGGAGTGTCGGAGGAACAAAAGAGGGATGATATGGGAGTGTTGATTTGGGCACGCGCTGAGTTTCAGTGTCAAAACACACACACACACACACACACACACACACACACACACACCGGGGAGAAAGTGACTGTGTTTACTTGGACATCAGTAGTCGAATTATTTGCCAAATTAATAAATGGTGGACTTTAACTGCAGTTTGGCTCTTTCATTCAGGAATTTCATTCAAGCTCCTCGTGACAAACGAGATATTTGATTCGAGGAACTGCTCTCAGCGTGTATTTTTCTTGCAATTTTTGTTACCGATCTGCGAATAAGAGAAAAAAAACCTCCGCATTTGATGGAAACTTAGATGCACACGACAGGTAGCGTCAGAAAGCTGTGTGTGTTATTCCGGTCACAAAATGCGGTGAAAAAATCCTACACGACGGCAGTAGTTTGGTTGTGGTGCTAACATGTTTACACTCGGTGTAATAGTTAGTTCGATACGAACTAACCTTGCCATCTGAATAAAGAAAGACCACTGGGCGCGCACTTACCAAAGCTGTAGAGACAGGACAATCAACAGCAACTAGAGCCGCGTCTGTATTAAAAGGAGACGAGCAGGAAATTTGCATCTCACCATTTGCAGATGAGAAAAGTTCTCGGGTAAACAATGATCCTTAGACACGTACTGTTGCCACGCGTCGCGTGCACTGTAATCCATACGTGAGTCCAGCTGCACTCTCATAGAGAGAAAATGAAAACAAAACCTTCACGGCAGCATATTATGAAAGCGACACTGCAGGCTTGTTTTGCCAACACAACGTGGCGTCTCTCTGCCGTCTAAACACTGTAACATTGTTACTCATGCATTAATGCAGCACACTCGGAGACGTAATACGGTACTCTCAGGTACAGACGTCCAGTCTACATGCTGGAATACACAGTAAGATCTCATGGCCGTGAGGCAGCTTTAAAAAAAATAGTTTTGCACCGTAAGCATGAATTTGCTTGAAATAACCTAAAAACAACCAATTTCAACTTAAATATGTGTCCTCATAGTGTTTTAGCAGTGTGGGACACATATACGACTGTCAACGGCTCAAAAAATGTGTTTTGGTGTTTCGTGACCCTTTAATGCTCCCTTGTAAAAACTTTTGTGGTAGTTTTGTAGTTTTTGGGTGCTTTCACATCTGTAGTTCGGTTAATTTGGTCCGGACCAAGGGCAATAACTGATACATTGTTGCATTTTCTGCCGTCTTTGGGTGGTTTTCACACCACACTGCTGGCTTTGGCCCGAACCAAAATGCAGTCATGTGACCAAATCCACATCACTCATTGGCCAGATGTTGTTAAACATAGTTCCTCAACTACTTATCGATTGGTCAGAATTCACGTGCGGGGAAATGCCAATAAACTCCCGCAAATAAACAAACCGGCAGACACAAAATGTCTCTTTTGACTATGGAGGGACGACTGCGCTGGCTGATTGTATCCCTGCTTTAGACAAGCTATACATTTCGAGAATAAAGCGCGGCCGCGGCTAAAAAACAATGTTTTAATGCATCGCACGTCACTCCAGGAGGAGGCGTGAATTAATTTAGCTAAACTGCGACATGGTCATCTTGCGGAAATATTACCAACGATCCATCAGGTAACATTCAAGAAATATTTTTCCTTCATTTCCAATAATGCACAGCGCATCGGCCTACGGCAGCTGGATTAGTCCAAAAGGACTTTTTGCGGTTGGACCTGTTTTAGTTCAGATCATATTCTCACCACAAACGAAACGCTCCAGGGTTTGTTTGAAAGCGTACCGAGACCACCTCTTCATGCAGGTCTCGGTACACTTCTTTGGTCCGCTTTTGGTGCGCACTCGAATACGATTGCTGCATTCAACTAACTGTAGT